ACATTCCGAGCACAGGTTCAAGGCCACAAGGCCAGTTCACATGCAAGATTATATATGAAGGTAAACAAACAAGAGCAGGTATATATAAGTCACAGTACAAGCAAGGTCAAGAAGTGAGCAAGTGAGGCCAAGTAGGCACAAGACCTAGCATCGTACAAAAGCGCTGATGATCACAAGGCTGAAGTGCCTTGGTAAAGATATCAGCAGTGTTGGCCCGAGAGGCCACGTAAGCAAGACGAAGCTGACCGCGCTGCTGCAGCTCACGAGCAAGGAAGTAGCGAAGAGCAATGTGCTTCGTTCTGTGCTCCAGTCTGTGCTCCCGACACAAGGCCAGCATGGCCTTGTTGTCTACGTACAGAACTGGAAGAGAACGAGGCGGTGCTCCCAGGTCAGTCAGCAGGTAGGTCAGCCAGCGTAACTCCTGTGCAGCCATGGCCCCTGCGTAGATCTCAACCTCACAGCTGGAGCTGAGAACAGAGGACGAGCGGGTAGACCGCCACGAAACAGAGCCGGAACCAAGGCTGAAGGTGTAACCCTGTGACGACCGCTGCGTAGCCAGGTCGTCGACCCAAGACGCGTCTGCGTGACCAGTGAGGACCACTGGACTCTTCCCTCCAAGCACGAGCCCCATGCCAGATGTACTGCACAAGTAGCGCAACACCCTCTTCGCTGCAGCCATGTGCTCTGGTCGGTGTCTCCCAGGAGCAACATAGCGTGCCAGAATGCTAAGAGGGTATGCAAGGTCAGGTCGAATGCAGGTCATCAGGTACATGAGGCAGCCAACAAGCTCTGGGTACGGGCCACTCGGCTCTATGGACTCATCCGAAGGCAGAGCTGAGAGCGAGTGGCGAGTAGACAGAGGAGTGGCCTGAGGCGAGGAGTACGTGAAGTCGAAGCGCTGAAGGACCTGCTGCACCATGTGTGACTGAGTCAGAGTAATGGTGCGCCGTGCTCTGTCCCGAGTGATCTGCAAGCCAAGATAGCTGCGCAGTTCACCCAGGTCTGTGCACGTGTGTCTCTTCTGCAGCTCGGACTTCACGTGGGCGAGTCCAGCAGTGTCAGCTGTAGCAAAGACCAAGTCGTCGACGTACACGAGGATGTAGAACGGCGGCAAAGTGGTGTCGGTGCGTAGAAACAGCGACGGGTTGGCTGTAGAAGGAGCGAACCCAAGAGCCGCAAGTGTAATCCTCAGTGTGTCGTGCCACTCACGGGGCGCCTGGCGGAGACCGTAGACTGGCCGCCGGAGGCTCCACTGGGTACCAGGAGGAAACGACCCAGTAAAGCCAGGTGGGCGGCGCAGCCAGATCTCCTCGTGCAGGCTGCCCTGTAGGAAAGCTGTGCTGAAGTCAAGCGAGTGAAGCTCGTAGTCACGGTGAGCGGCAACGTGCAACAGCACCCGAAGAGTGGTCATCTTCGGGGTGGGAGAGAAGGTCTGAAAGTAGTCAACTCCCTGCCGCTGACTGAAGCCTCGAGCCACGTAACGCGCCTTGAAGACAGGCGTAGAGCCCGGCGGCCGTTTCACCCTGAAAATCCACATGCCACTGACGATGTTCGCCCCAGGTGGGGGAACCTCGTCAACGTAGGTGCCTGTGGACTTCCAGGAAGCCATCTCTGCGTCCATGGCTGCCTGCCACTGAGAGGAGTAGGGACCCTCTATCGCCTCCGCGTAAGAGCGCGGAGTCGGGATGTCTAGTGCATCCGGGTCTCCCTCAGGGGAAAGCAGCATGGCCACGAGATGAGGTAAAGCAGCAGCAAGACACTGGAACTCCTCCTGCCTGTCCTCAAGGACGTCCGTGCTAAGAGCACACTCACCCCTGACGGACGGAGGACAGACAGACTCAGACTCAGCAACAAGACTAGCGGCGTAGTCTAGACGACAGGCAGCAGCAAAGTCAACAAGCTCAGTGACCAAGGCAGACGCAGCAGTAGACTCAAACGACGGGTCAGTGACAACAGTGGCTAACAGATGCGTGACAGTAGGGTGCTCAGCACGAAACCGGTCAGACTCAGGGTCCGGAACGGCAGGCAGAGAGGACGAAGGGAGAGACGGCAGAGGAACAGGCTGCGGAGCAGAGGAAGGACGACGGACAACAAGGTGTGCGCTGGGGACAGCCGGCTGACGCGAACGAGGAACACGACTACCGGTACGACCAGAACGAACAGGCGAGACAGGACGCGACGCAGGCTCACGACGCTCAGCAGGACTACCTGTCTGCTCAGTGTAAGGAGAGGGAGCAGGCAGCGGTGAGCCAGTCTGTAACGGAAGACCAGTAGACGACGGGAGAGTAACAACCTGACGAAGAGCAGAGTCAGGCGGCGGCAGAGATGACGGAGACGGCGGAGCGAAAAAAAGTCGTGTCGGCGCAGCTGCACCAGGACCAGCAGCTCCAGCAGCTCCAGCACCTTTAGTAGCTCCAGCGCCTCCAGCCGCTCCAGCACCTCCAGCAGCTCCAGAAGCTCCAGCCTCAGAACTGGTACCTCTAGCGCCAGTACCTCCAGACTCAGCGTCACCAGCAGCAGCACCCCCAGAACCGGCACCTCCAGCCCCAGGGTCTCCAACCGCAGGGTCTCCCGCAGCAGCACCCCCAGAACCAGCACCGCCAGTCCCAGGGTCTCCGGCCTCAGCGTCTCAAGGAGCGGCACCCCCAGACGCAGCACCCCCAGCCCCAGCAGCTCCAGTACCTCCAGTACGAGCACCTCCGGGACCAGCGACTCCAGCACCTCCAGTAGACGAGCCCCGGGCTCCAGCAGCGCGACCCTGACGGCGACCGTACCAGTCGTGCAGCTGCTGCGAGGTGAGAGGCACACGCGGACGAAGGCGGCCACTCCAAGTAGGCCGCGCACCAGCAGTCCCAGTACCCTCAAGCGTCTCACCTCCAGACTCAGCACCCCCAGACTCCGCACACACAGGCGCAGCACCCCCAGGCACAGCACTCCCAGGCGCAGCACCTCCAGTCTCCTCACGCACAGGCTCAGCACCCCCAGACGCCGCACCCCCAGACTCTGCACCCCCAGGAGCACCACCCCCAGCAGTACCAGAGTCAACAGTAACCGACTCCAGAGGCGGTGAAGAAGGTCGCGGAGGGAACCCCGGAGGGGTCTCCAAGTGCGGCGGGCGGCGGTAGGCCGCCGGGGCGTCAGCAGCAACGTCACCCCCCTCAGGTGGGCCAGAGGTGTCCGAAGTGACCTCCAGAGGCTCAGCCAAGGGGGGGGGGCCAACCTGAGACACACCTGAAGGAGCAGGACCCTGAGGGGGGAGGGGGTCTACCGGGGGGGGACCTGGCGTAAGGAAGAGCGGCGGGGGGGGAGGGGGGCAGCGCGGTAGGGGAAGAGACGGTAGTACGGAACCGACTCGTCAAACGTGACGTCCTGGGAGGACAGAATACGGCGCGAGGTGGGGTGGTAAAACTGCCAACCAGGCGCGTCAGGGGGGAAGCCAAGGAAGACGCAGGGAACGGCACGGGAGGACAGCTTGTCCGCAGACAAGTCTCGGACAAAAGCCCGAGATCCCCAGACACGAAACGCAGACGCATCGCCAACCTGCCCCGTCCACCTCAGAGTGGGGGAGGTGTCCGGAATGGAGACCCAAGGCTGAAGGTTGATCTGATGCGCCGCGTACTGAACTGCAAACGGCCACAGAAAATGGGGAGCAGCCGCATGGATTTTGGACATACGAGCGACATCCATGACCATGCCAATGCGGCGCTCAGCAATCCCATTTTGCTGCGGAGAGGCCGGAAGCGTGAACGTCTGGCGGATGCCCCTCGCACGACAGAAGGCTCGCAGAGGGCCGGAGGAAAACTCTCCACCTCTGTCAGAGTGCAGACGCAGAACAGGAAAGTCCGAGCCGAAACTCTTCCTGAGCTGGAGACGAGCAGCGCGGATCCAGTCGATCAACACCTCAGTGACCTCATCCTTGCGGCGCAAGGGGAAGACTGTGGTGTAACGCGAGTAGTCGTCAACCACCAGCAGGAAGTAGCGCTCGTGACCCTGTCCACGGACGCGGGCTGGGCCCCACACGTCCATGTGAAGAGTCTGCAGCGGAGCCTCTGTCGGCGGAAACTCGGAGGAGTGAGGAGCGGCGCGCTGCCGCCCCTCGACGCAGGGAACGCAGGTAGGGGCAGGCCCCGGAGGGAGGGGAGGGAGAGACCGGGGGAGACCAGAGACAAGGACACGAGAGGCCATGCCTCGGAGACGAGGCAGGGAGGGGTGACCAAGACGGTGGTGCTAGAGAAGAGTCTCGTGGGATAGGAGGCTATACGAGCAGGGGGCAGACTCAGGACCAGACCGAGACGCTGCAGCAAACACCTGACCCGACGCAGCTACCTGACCAGGCACAGTAACCGGAGGAGACTCGGTAGTCAGGGTGTACAGGCTCGACCCCGGCCGATGGGTAAACGTGGCCAAGTGTCGGCCCGTGTCTGCACACGTGCAGTGGGTCACCCGCTGACGCGCAGGGGTGAACTGGTCAACCCCCCCATCCTGTAGGTCAGCACCCGCCACCAAGTTCGTAGAGAACGAGGGGAGGTAAAGACCCGACAGGGAGCCAGACGGGACCGCTGGACACGGTAGTACAGTGGAGTAGTGGGCAAGAACAGGACCCCCAGAGGGGTCTGCCAGGGAGACCGCAACCGGCCGACTAAGCGGCGTAAGAGTGGTGCGGTCTCGAAAGAAGGAGCGGGAAGCACCCGAGTCAAGGGTGAAAGTGTGCGACGCCTGAGCAGACGTGGTACCTGAGAGAGCAGACTCACCAGCACCTGGGGCAGCAGACTCACTAGCACCTGGAGCAGCAGACTCACTGGCACCTAGAGCAGCAGCTGCACCACCCGGGTCGCGCGGAATACTCAGGTAACAGTCACCGTCATCACTAGTAGACATAACATACATGGCAGCAAGGATTGCATCATAGTCAAGATCAAAGATAGCAACTCCCGACCTAAGCAGATCATGCCAGCGAGGGAGCTCAGTGGCGTCAGGGAACCGGAGACGCCAGGCGTCTGTCAGGCGGCCGAAGCAGCGCTGAGTGGTGTGCGGGCCGCCACACGGCTCCCCAGTGCGGTCACCAGTACGGAGGACGTAGGTACAGGGACCAGCACCCCCAGGCCGCTGACGCCCAGCGTACCACTGGTGAAGCTGCTGGGGTGGCGGGGCCTCACGAGAGCGCTGCTGCTGCTGACGCTGGCCACCACCGAAGCCTCCTCGCTGCGCGGAGCCACTTCGACCAGCGCCACCGCCACTGCCGCCACCGCCGCCACCGCCGCCACCGCCACCTCCTCCACTCCCACCGCCGCCGCCGCCGCTGCCTCCGCCTCCACCGCTGCCACCAGAGCCCCCACCTCTGCCACCACTCCCACCTCCACCCCCACCCCCTCCGCCGCCTCCACCGCCACCACCACCACCCCCGCCAGCTCCTCCAGCTCCCTTGCCCCCCTTACCCTTGCTGTTGCGGCGCCTCCCGCTAGGGGCAGACGCAGCGCCGACCGACTCAGTGCCAAGGAGGTCGACAGCAGCAGCAGAGGCAACAGAGGGCAAAAGGGGAACGGGGGAGCACCCCTCAAAGATAGGGGTACGAGGGTCACCTCGAGAGGCTCCTACAGCGACTATGCTCTGCTCAGCTGCAAGGAGCTCCTTCTCGAGGAGGTCAACGGTGAGAGTGGTAGGGCAGATAGCAAGGAAGTGATCCCTGACCGAGCGAAGGGAGTCAGGGAGTTGGGTGACTAGGTAGTAGAGGGTGATGTACATGGGGGGGGGGGTTCTGGGCGCGGAACTCAGCAGGAAGCGCAGCACGGTAGCGGGTGTCACTAGTGCGGAGGTGCGTAATGAGGTCAGCGACTGTAGCAAAGGCAGCGAGGTCAGGGAAAAGGTACGGCAGCATGAGGCGACTAAGGGCAGCAGAGGCAGGGGAGGAGTAGCATGCAACGACAGCGTCGTACAGGGCCTTAGCAGTTTTGTATTGACTAAAGTGCGCGCGCTCAGCGGGGGGCAGGTGACTGCGCACAGCAAGGCGGGCAGCAGCATCGCGTGTGTTCCAGCGGGAGCGAGTAGTGCTGTCAGCATCAGCAGCAGGGGCAGTAGAGGCACCAGATGTGAGATCGAACAGTAAGAGCTCATCTTTGCTATCACACTGCAGGAAAAGCTGCATATCATCCAGCCAGACCTCAAAGTCGATCGCACGACCCTCAGCATCGAAGGTAAGAACAGCGGGAGTAGCCATGACAGCAGCAGGAGTAGGCTAGCAGTAGCAGCAGCAGGGCAGTGCTCACCAGTGGCGAGAAGGGCAGGTGTACGATGGCAGTAACGGCGAGGCCGCTACCACTGCAGGGCGAGGGCTCCGGGGCAGCTGCAGAGGCGGCTGCTGCAGGGGCGAGGGGCGGCTGCTGAAGGGGCGGCTGCCCCAGGAGCCAGAGACGGCTGAGCTGGGGCGGCTGCTGCAGAGGGGCGGCTGCTCCAGGGGCGGCTGCTGCAGGGGCGGCTGCTCCAGGGGCCAGAGGCGGCTGGTGCTGGGGCGGCTGATGCAGAGGGGCGACTGCTCCAGGGGTGGCTGCTCCAGGGGCGGCTGCTTCAGGAGCGGCTGCTCCAGGGGCGGCTGCTGCAGGGGCGGCGAAAGGGGCCGCGAAGTGCCGTGAAAGGGCGGCGTGGTGCCGCGCGAGGGCCGCGAAGGGCCGCGACGGGGGGCCGCGACGGGCTGGAAGGGGCCGCAAAGGGCCACGATGGGGCCGCGACGAGCCACGAAGGGGGGGGGCGCGACGGGCCGCGAAGGGGCCGCGACGGACCAGGAAGGGGGCCGCGACGGGCAGTGAAGGGGCCGCGAGGGGCAGTGAAGGGGCCGCGACAGGCCGCGAAGGGGCCGCGACGGGCCGCGAAAGGGCCGCGACGGGCTGGGGAGGAGCCGCGACGGGCCGCGAAGGGGGCCGCGACGGCCACGAAGGGGCCGCGACGGGGTTGCGACGGGGGGCCGCGAAGGGGCCGTGAGAGGGAGGGCCGCGAGGGGCCGCGAAGGGGCGGCTTAGGGGCCGTGAATTTTCCGGGCAGGGCGCAAAGGCGCCTTGGGCAGCTAGGAAAAAAAAAGTTCTTGAGGTGGGCCCTAGGAAGAGATGGTCCCACTAGGGAACCTGCTCTATACCATGTGAAACAAGAGAGGAATGAATCAACTAGGAAAGTGTGTGATACAAATGTGAAACCCTAAAACTGTGTACCCCTTAGTATCTACCCTGCTACAGCCTACATAGGCTAAATCATATATGTCTGACATTGTTAAGCAGTCCTAACTAGTTGGGGATCTCAGCGTCGTCACCAACTCCTCACGGAAGGCATCCTCAAGACGGCAGAAGAAGCGAGACTCAGCGTGCCCCATCTTACCGCAGGGCTCACCAGCGCGTGGACCCATGCGCCTGACGTACGGGCAATGACCATTACCTCCAAAGGAGCCATGCTGGATAACCCACTCATCAAGCTGCTGGGGCGTGAGAGGCTCCTTCCGTCGAGGTCCCTAGGGCCTCTGCTGTCACGAGCTGCACCCCCAGACGTTGCCCAAGAGCCTCCACCTCTACCCGCTCCTCCGCGTCTGCCACCCGAGCCCCCTCCGCCCACCCCACCTCCTCCACCACCCCCACCACCTCCACCGCCACCACCACCTCCTCCACCCCCGCCGCCACGACCGCCACCACCCCCGCCAGCGCCACCCCCACCACCCTTACCCCCTGGCCCTTGCCACTGCGACGCCTCCCATTAGGAGCAGACGCATCACTGACCTCCTCATCACGAAGGAAGTCAATAGCATCAGCATAGGCAACTAAGGGCACGAGAAGGGAGGGAGAACACTCCTCAAAGAAAAAGGTGCGGGGAGTGCCACGAGAGGCAGCTACAACGACGGCACTGGTCTCAGCCTCGAGGAAACGAGTCTCAAGTGAGTCAAGCATGAGCTCAGCGGGGTCGAGGGAGAGGAAGTGGTCCCTAACTGCGTGGAGAGAGTCAGAGAGGCGGGTAACGAGGAGGCAAAAAGTGTACATCGAAGGCGGGTTCGCAGCAAAGAAGGTTGGCTTAAGAGCAGCTCGGTTGCGAACATCACTAGAGCGTAGGTGGGTCACGAGATCAGCGACGGTGTAAAGTGTGACAACTCAGGAAAGAAATACGGCAGTATGAGACGGCCTAGGGCAGTAGTAGAGGGGGAAGAGTAGCATTTGACGACAGCATCATCGAGTTCTTTGGCCATTGACTGAAATGGGGCCTCTAATCTAGTGGGAGGTGGTTGCGCACAGCAAGGTGCGGAGAGTCACTACACAACGGGAGTAGACTACGGAGGAAATGCACGGGGTTGTGTGGGTGATCGTAGCGTTGCGCTATGCGTTCTCACTACTTGCTTACAGAGAGATTTGGCAAGAGTTTCACTAAGAAATTGAGAGAACAATAGATTACAATGAGGCATGCAAGTCGATATAGCTAGGATGGCATTACAACACCTCGCAAACCCTCTGCAGGGCGAACTATGCCAGCGCAGCAGAAGAGTGGCTTGCCAATTCTGCAGCAGAGTAGTCTGCCAGCGCGGTATAGTAGCGGTCTGCCAGCCCCGCAGAGGAAGGCGAACTTCTGCGCAAGTGTGCACTTACTAAGTAGGTGCAGGTGGACGGACGCGCCGCCAGGCACATTGCGCAGGTGCCAGGTAGAACACGTATCGACGGTTTTGCCAGCGGTGCACCGTCGAGCACGTGATGCCGTTCCGCAGGTTAACTTCTCGAAAACCTCCTGGGCGACATTCGCCCACATGACGAATTTCGCAGCGACTTTTGTAGAGTAGCTCGACGAATGCTCCGTCGAGCAGCTTTCGCCTAGACGAGCCCTCTGCCAGCCTCGTCGAGGAGCTCCTATACTGACTTCGTCGAAGAGCTCCTATACCGAACAGGTCCCGTCGAACCGAGCTCCTCGACGAGGAGCTCTGAGAGCTCGTTGACCGTGTCCTCTGCGAGCTCTTTGACCGTGTCCTCTACGAGCTTGTTGACCGTGTCCTCTGCGAGCCCGCCGACCAGCGTCCTATATTAGCCCGTCGACCGGCGTCCTATACGAGCTGTCCTCTGTCGACGGCTTCTGCGGACTGGTCGAGGACGAACTCTACGGACAGGTCGAGGTTGCCTTTTGCGTGCCCCCTACTGCGAAGTCTGCTCTGTCCAAGCGAGGGCGGGGCTATTCCCGTCAACAAAAGGCGTGCAGTAGCATCGCGCGTGAGCCACTATGAACGAGCTACACGGTCAGCTGTTTCAGCTGGGGCGGGAAGGGACCGCTACGCATGCTCATAAAGTGAGATATCGTCCCTGGCTTCGCTTTGTAGGTACAACTGGAGATCCTCTAGCCATGAGTCAAACTGTATCGGGCGACCCTCCGCATCAAAAGTAAGCACAGTAATAGTTGCCATAGCGGGCAGTAGTAGCAGCAGAAGTGGCAGCAGCGGCAGCAAGAGCGGAGGGCAAAGCAGCGAGGGCCTTTCAGGGCAGGGCAATTGTAGCGCGCAGGCAGTGCACTGCATGCCTTAAGAGGCTATGAAGCAGTGCAGTAGCAGCAGGGCAAGGCAGACCACAGTGGCTCGGTAGGCAAGGCAGGGCAGAGCGAAGTAGTGGGTCCAAGGTAGTGAGCGCGGGCGGCGCAGGTAGCGCGGGCTCCGCAGGTGGCGGAAGCAGCGCAGCAGCGGGCTGCGGCTTACGGCAGGGCAGGGCAGCAACGCGCAGGCCACGTGGGCGTGAGTAGTGCAAACTGAAGGCAACTCTCTAGCAGCGTGTGGATTGCGCGCGGATGGGTAGCGCGGGTCGGGGTGCACGCAGGTAGGTCGCGGGCAGCACGGCAGGTGCGCGCGCGGGCAGCTCGGGCCGTGGCATGCAAAGGGAGGTCGCGAGCAGCGGAGGCAGCGTGGGCGTCGCACACAAGGCTCAGGCAGCACGGTTGTATCGCGTGTGCAGGCAGCGCGCGAGCAATGCGCGTGGGGGGCAAGGGGCCACGAGCGGGTCGCGCGCGGGGCAGGGCAGGGTGTGCGGGGTGGCGCGAACAGGGCAGCATGCGGGTCGCGCGAAAGGCAACGTACGGGTCACGCATTAGGCAGGGCAGTCGCGATTTCGCTAGGCAGTGCAGCTCTAGCGGACAGGGGGTTGTGATTTGGTGGGACAGGGCAGGATGAATGGGCAAGATGAAAGATAATGGTGGTCCTATAGCAAGACCTGCTCTGATACCATATTAAGATAGTGGCTTGACTAGAAGCCATAGCTTATGAGAGTAGTGAGAGAAATGGTGGATTAGGTGAGTGTTGAGAAGCACAAGAGGAAAACCTAAGGGGGTTGTACTCTCTAAATAGTGCCCCATTATAGCCTAACAGAGATAACGACATAGAAACATATGTTTACATTGCACTTAGCTAGGCCATGTCCCGCCAACCTCTCACTTGTTAGGTTGCTGATATTTGTGCTTTCTTTACCTTTGTCTTCTTGTACTCCTGAGCTGGCCCTATGGCCATTCGTCAAAACGGTCGTATAGTAGTACCACATCGTGATGTTTATAGTACTGTTATTCTTGTTGATTGGTCTTGTTATCATTTGTGTCAGAGACGCTGATTAGTAGTGCCGCATCGGCTTGCATTTTGTCTCCCATGCATTGTCTATCCCCCCTTTAACATTGGCTGCCGCGTGTTTCAAATGTGTGGTACATTTGCTAGCCTAGGTCAGGGTTGCCTATTAGCACTTGTTGTACTTATTAGACTACTGGCTTGCATAAGTTATTCAAAATTATTCCAACACAACCCACCATTCCCTATTCAGTACATACTTTTTTCTCGTTTTGACAGAAATTTTGTGCATCAACATTAAGTTTGGATGGCCAACACTATGCAACATATGTTAGAAGCCTAAGATAACTAAGGAATAGGGTTTTGGGGTGAGACTACAATGTCGAGAGAGTTTGGCCAAAAGAGGGGTTTGACTATGAGATGAGAGTACAAGATATAGAAGCTAGAAGCATAAGAGGTGCACCACCAAACAGAAAGTTATATGACTACAGTATTCTACACTACAGGCAGTTATAAAACAATATATATAGTTATATATTATTTTGACTCGCCCCCAAAAGTGCCTGGGAAGAATGTGTAGTGAACGCCCCCATAATGGGGTACACCAGAAAGGCCGCAGCGGAATAAGCAGACGGCAAGTGAGGAGTAGGGGGGACCAAGAGAGGAGAGGTGAT